CCTGCTAGGTTCCCATCTGGCTGTTTTAACTTTGCTACTGCTTTTAAATGTGCCTGTTTCTGCACGCAAAGCTTTCAGCTCTACCTCAAGAGACTCCTGGGTTCTCTTAGCGTCAGAGTCTGACCAGAATGTAGAGACATAGACTGGGTCTTCTTAACAAAAAGGAAGATCATATTTCATGTTACAGTATCTAAAAGATTAATTCCACTAACATGATCATTTCCTTGTGAAACACACTTCTTTCCGTCTGGAATTTTCCATCAGGAGGACAAAGAGCCATAGTGTCACACACTACCTGAGAGAAAAGAGCAAGGAGTGTAAAAGATGAGTGCAGATATGCTTGCTGAGAGAAGAGAAGAAAAAAAAGAGTAGTCAGCACTTTCAAATGCATCAAGAGGCTGTTTTTAAATTTTTTTCCCTTCCACATGAATTATATTCTGACCCCATGCTTTGGAATTTTGAACCATTTAGTTTGTCAGGTTTTTGATACAGGGAATTTAGGATATTTGGCTGCAGGAGCTTTCTGTATCATGTTTTTGTTAGGTAGTGTTTGTGCTATTGTAGTATCCACAGGCTCTGCTGTGCCTGTGGCTCTCAATAATCTCATGTAAGAACTTGTTACTGAAAGACACCTGTCCCCATCTGGGCTATCAGCATAACCACAGGCAGAGCTGTGCCAGCCAGGAAGGTGCTAGCAAAAGGGAAGGAGGAAAGATGATTTGGGTCCAACTAATGTCCTGTCAGACTCCTCTTGGGACTCCAGATGTTCATTTAATCTCTTTACAACTCAGTTCCATCTGAGGAGACAAGGGAACAGCCATGGCAAAATGGCAGGAGGCCCTGTCACAGGCAAATAGGTGGCTATTCAGTCTGTGTTCGTTGTTAGTGAAATAAAACATATTTTTCTCAACCAGGAGCGAGCCATTTCATCTTGTATTAATGTTTAAAATATTTTATGCAATGCGGGAGAACAAATTGCAAAACAAAGTAACTGAATGGAAAAATGGAAATGGTAATTTTTTTTTTGAAATAACAAAATTATCTATTTCATATCTACAATATTGGTGTGTTTGCGTTTTTACCCCCAAAACTTTGCTGAGTTTTTTTTTCCACTAGAATCTGCAAATGCAATACAAATCTATTAAATGCTTTAGCCAATTCAAGTCACTGGGGGGTTTGTATGGGTTTTTACTTTTATTTTCTTTTTTGTTGTTGTTGTTTTTTGGTTTTTTGTGGTTTTGTTGTTGTTGTTGTTTTGTTTTGGGGGTTTTTTTGTTGGTTTTTTTTTGTTTTTTTTTTGGGCAGGGGGGTGTTGGTTTTTTTTTTTGCCAGAGATGTTCAATAGAAAAAGACAATAATTTTCACCATAGAGAAAGGAAGGAAAAAAAAAATAAACCAAACCAACAAACCAAAAAACTTTGCAGACTGTAGTATTCAAGTGGCTGGACAATACTGGGGAGATACAAAGCTCCACTAGGTTGTTTTAGACAAGGTTTTGGCATGACTGAGTCCCTCAGGAGCTGCCCCCAGCTGCATGCAAACAGCATGGATGACCCACAGCCTTTCCTGGGTGCTCCCTGCAGCCAGGCGGTGTCACCCACAGCCATCTCCAGCCTGGACCTCCAGGGCAACTCCTGGACCACTGGGGAAACCCAGGCTCCACAGGCCAGACAGGGATCCAAGCTGGCCCTGGCCATTCGGGCTGTACTCCAGTGCTCCACCTGGGTGGGACATGATACAAAATGACAAGACCATTTTAAAGCTTGTGTGCTACCTTGTGTTTTGTGGATTGCCATTAAAATCTTTGTCTAGCCTCAAAAGTCTCCCATAGGTTGAATTTTTTTGCTTCCATTGTTTTGTTTTTAAGCAGAAAAAAAATAGGAAAGATAGAAAGATAGGAAAGATAGAAAGATAAGAAAGATAGAATTATAAGAGAGATAAGAAAGATAAGAAATATTAAAGAAGGGAAGGAAAATGGAAATGAATGAGGAAAGGAAAGGAAAGGAAAGGAAAGGAAAGGAAAGGAAAGGAAAGGAAAGGAAAGGAAAGGAAAGGAAAGGAAAGGAAAGGAAAGGAAAGGAAAGGAAAGGAGCTAATGAGGTGGCTACAGTTTAAAAGAAAAGTAATCCTATCCAACTTGCATGGTTTAGATCTCTGCAGAAAATGTTAGTGACCTTGTAAGACAGAAATTTTCCCCTCAGGTACAGGGATTCCTGTGCTCCTGCTGTCACTGACTGTTTCCAACTAGAGCAGCTTCTGGGAGCCACCCAGGGGGAGGGAGAAGCTTAGAGAAATGTAATCAGTGGCAGCACTTTTGCTACCTCTGCAGTATCTTAAAGTAGAAGGTGGGGGGGAAACCTTCACCAAAGTCCCTGGCCTTCAATTAAAAAATTCATATTGCTTTCCTCATTAGTCCAATCATCTGCTATAGTTATTTCCAGGCTTACCCTGAAGGCCCTGCAGAGCAATCCAATTTCAAGGCAGTGCAGTGCAGAGAGGAGCTGTGTTCTTGGGAGGAGCTGTGCTTGTGTTGACACAAGGAGCTCACTCGTCTGACATTAGGCATGTGAATAAAACAATGTTGGCACACCTTTTGGAAAGAGGATTGCTCTATGAAAGGGAGCTCTGTTGCAAAGTATTTCCCTGGCTGCAAAGGCCAGAGTCACATGTGAAGTGTCACTGGCACAAAAATGACTCAATTTTGGGAGAACCTCCTCAAAGTCAGGTCTTGAACAAGTGGCCACACAATCTAATTCTCTTTGCTTATCATCTCTGAGAGGCTACAATAGAAGTTAAAAGCAGCAGGGTCTAGAAGAAGTGAAAGTTTGGTATCCATCTGCTCCACAACTTCAGCCCTTTAGTATTTGAAGTAACTCAGAGTCACCTACACACCTACACAAATGAGCCTGTGGTCCTATGAATCTCCTGATGGAGAAGCTGTATTATCTTATTCTTGATTTTCTTTAAGTTCTTCAGCTTAATGTTCTGTGTCAGTGAAAGTACAAACAGGTCATCATAAAGATGCTGGCAGTAGCTCTTGAGCGCAGTGCATGACTTTCACAAGGCAGTAAAACTTGTAGGGCAATGCACACGATGTGTTTCTGTGCTATTCTTCATGCTAATCTGGGCTAGGATTGCACAACATACTCCTTTACCAAAGCTCTTGATCTTATATTATCTGCCCTGAAAAATTCGTAGCTTTTATCTCTATATTTCTCTCTACTTCCCTGCAGTTCTTTTCCTCCATCATTAAAAGTAAAACCAGTCTTCTTTTTTCTATGTCTCCCATCATTTTTATTGTGCTTTTCATATCTTGCTTATTAAGTAGTTACCCTAGGGAGACCTCTTTCTTATTGGAACATACAAAAAGCTATAACTGCACTTAACATTTGTGGGGAGGAGGAGGGAGGAAGGGGCAAAGGAAGCAAATTTAGACTGAGGACTCAGAAATATATGTGTATGTTCAGTAATATGCCTCACATCAACTCCACTTCTTTTTCTGTAAGCAAAAATATATTCTCCCTTGTTTTCTGCTTATTCCCCAAATCAGCTTCCACTGTTAAAAATAACATACATGGACAAAGTTGTTGTTTTATGAGCAACATCCATATGGCTCCTGCTGCTGTGGGGTAGGAGACAGACCAGATGACTTCTGAAGGTCCTGCTTGCACTTGTTTTCTAAAATTGCTGAGAAAATAAACCCAAAATTTAGATTTAGGCATTCAGGCATTAGAGTGAAAGCTGTTGCCATATCAGAATAAATATAATTTACCATACTTTGGGAAGAGTTCTAGTGTGCCTTCCTCATCGATTATGACTCTAGTAAGGATAAGCAACAAAATAAAGCTCATTTATAGTTTCAGGGGGCAAGAACAGCAATTCAGGATAATGAGATCCAGGCAGGAGAAATGTTCCTAAAGTCTCAGAGAAGGGACTGCTTGGATATCTTGCTCTTGACTGAGCTTTGCTTCCAGCTGAACCATCTGACCTGCGCTTGCTGGGTCTAAACCAGCAAACAGCATTGCAAAAGGGTTGCCCGTATTCCACGGCATGATTTGTGAGGGTTCACAGGTCTGTGATCTCAAGAGACCTGTGAGGGAGCCCTAGATGGGATTGTCAACAGGACAACAATGCCAGAACTTTTAGCTCTATAATTTCAAAAATACTCTTTTTTTCTCACACCCTGGGTAAGTACCCTGCCCCTCAGACAAGAGAAATGGCCCCTCTCTGGAGGGAATCACATTATTTATACAAAGTGGAACAGCTCCCAGAGGAGAGATTGAGACAGACAGGCACAAGAATACCAGTATAGCTAAGTGTCCAGGGATATTCAACTGAGAGAGAAAAAACTAGTTCAAATCCTCTCAATTTCTTCAATTTCTCTTTCTGTACATACAGACATATACAATATATATATGTTTATAGATGCATGTGAAAATCCTTCCTATGTGTAAATGTATGTATGTGTGTAGGTGTGTTTAAATACATCACTATAAATGAAATAAAATTGTATGTACACACTGTTTATATGTGTGTACACATACACCATACAAATGGTGCTCACATCCTAAGATTTTCACCTTGGCCCTAGAAACTTTGTAAGTCAATTAATTGATGCATTCAAAACTTCCAGTTTTGACTAATCAGAATCAAGTGTACACAAATACTCTGGTAGCACTTCAACAAAAAGAGAAATGTTAGCTGTGCCTACAAGGTTCATCCCATCTGCATTCATGTGGTGCAGATGTTCTTTACCGATAGTGTTACTTGACAAGAAATTAAATCACATTATCTTATGCTGCTTTCTCAGGGGAGAAATTACATGTCTGTACAGTCCTACCCCTGAGTCAGTCCTGCTCTCTGGATGCTTTTAGCAACACCTGCAGGCCCTGCTGCACACACTAGTTCTAATAACGTAATCCTATTTGGAGGGTAATGAACAGGTCTACTTTCCAGGGAATAGTATTTCTGTATGAAAATTTCCTTTCAATTCATTTCAGAAAAGCTGTCTCTGATACAGCCTGAGTGCATGCAAAGGAGCAGCAAGATGCTTCACACCAGAGACCCTTCATCCCTGACTAACAGCACGTCCTATGAAACACCGGCACTATCAGATCTCCAGCAGCTCCTGTGGCTCAGAGGAGGCTCTGATAATCACGTGGACCAAGTCTGGCCAAATATCTACCTGGGAGATGCGTAAGAACATATGGTTCTATTGTTAAGCTGTTATCAGTCCCTGGGAGGAGGAGGAGGAGGAGGAAAGGGTGTGGTACTACTGGGGAGTAGCTTTTGGGTCTTCAGGTACGTTTTTGTGATACAGGCTTCCAAAACTGATGATGTAAAGAGCTTGGATGTCAAGAAACACATGACATACAAAATAGTGACTTACTCATAGCATGTCTGACTTGGTTTTTTGTATTCTTTGAGCCACCATAGATTTAGCAGGGTAAAAATTATTTGTATTCTAGACTAAAGTCCTCAAAGAATCTACTGATGAGCCAAACTGATGTCAGTTCTGAGATGCATTATGTGGCCTGGAAACTCTGCTCTAAGACAGCAGACAAGAGGCCAATAGCCCTAACACTCAAATAGGGGTAGCAAGATTAAAATCCAGGAGAAAGACCCAAATGAATTGTACAATAGTGACCCTGACATTCCAAATCCAAGCTTTCTTTCAAAGATGATAAAGCTGAAAATATCAAACATGAATTTTCATGTACGTGCCTTATTCTTGTGACCTATAATATTTGTTGCTATTTCCTTCCAATTGGATTCTTGCAGATTACCTAGATCATTAGCTCATTTTTCCCAGCTCCTCCTCCTCATGAATATATCAGTTAAGGTTCAGAATTTTGTAGAATGCCTATAAATCCTAGTTTATGGTGGGAAGTGGGGTTCACCTAGCTGGTGAACACAATGCATCCACTTCATGTCCAAACCAGGAACAAGGTGTTGCTGCATCTGTGTGAACTCTCACTCTTGAGACGAGGCACCCTATCAATGACAGATTAGCTCTAATATTTCCTAAACAAATATTTAAGGAAAATCTTGACCACTTCATACAGTAAGCTGTGTTCCCAGGGATTATCTGCTGGGAGGCATTTGCTTAACTGACAGTATCCCACTGGCAAGTCTGTGCTCCTGCTGTTCTCCACACCTCCATATCATATTTTTCATGTGCAAAGCACTGTACATGAAATTTGCTCCTCTGTAAACAGGATGCAGTTCCTGCATCCTTCCGTAGTGGGAGCAGGCACTAACTTTAAACCATGCTATTTTTGCAGAATGTTAGGAGCGTTGCCAATGCGCCCTTCATGTCTTTCAACAGGTGGGCTGCTAGGAGCAAAGCTACACTTCGAAGCCTCAACATTACTCATATCCTTAATGCAGCAGATGGACCATATAGCATCAACACGGGAGCCAACTATTATGCAGATCTGCAAATAGAGTACTATGGAATAGAAGCATTTGATGATCCTTCCTTCGATTTAAGTATCTTCTTCTATGACGCTGCCAATTTCATAGGCAAGGCCTTAAACTCTTCAGGAGGTAAGAGAGAAGCAAAGGGGAAGAAGCTTTGAGGGGAAATTTCAACGCAAGCCAAATGACTTTTCATTGCAGTAACAGGCACCAACAGAGCTCAGAATCAGCATATGGTTCAAGGGAGCACATACAGAACCACTGAGCAGAGGCTGGAGAAGGGTGCCTATGCCATGTGCTGCAGGGAAGGTGGCTGTGCCAGGTCCCCAGCAGTTGCAGAAGACTGCCTGTCCCCAGCCCAGCATGGTAGAAAGAAGGGCAAGCTCTGGGACCAGAGTGTAGAGGGAAGGACAAAGTTTATGGCACTGCAGATGCTGCCCCATGAGTCCATCCTGTAGGAATCAGTAGGATCTGTGTGCTCCCACACACCCCTTCCACCCGTCACACACTGACAGGGGCTCCAGCTGGGGATCCTGCCCTGCATGCGGCTCCTGCTCCCTGTGGGAGCAGAGGCACTTCGGAGCTGGCTCGAATGCTTCACACGCTCAAGTACTTCACAGAATTGCAGCTTTATTCAGCCTGTCTATTAAGCTAGAGAAGCAGCAGAAGTTAATGAACTAAGTCAAAAACTATGAGCCTGACCTGCAGCCTGCTGAATTTTTGTCAGCAGAGTTTGGATTAGGGCCTAGTTATCATAATTTCCATTTGTTCCAGAGTTTGCTCTGACTCTGACTGGCTGCAGGATCTGCTGCTTTCACTGGAGTGCTTTATTAAATCCTCAGTTATAGCTCACACTGGGCTGCTGAGATACAGTAAATTACAACTCCATTTTTACAGGCAGACTATCCCACAGAGTTTGTGGGACTTGCCAGTGATCACAGTCAGGGCTGGGCCAAATTTTTCTGCCAATTTTTTTTTTTTTTCTATAGAAAACTATACTAACAAGTTTAGTCCCAGAAAGCTTCTCCTTCCACAGAAAATTTCAACTATTTCAATCTTAGGTCTAAATTAGATGCAGGAGATTAGATGAAATACTACCTTGCCTGAGAGGTAGTTTTCCTGAAAGCATGAAGATCCACTAATTGTCACCATTGCTTTCTTAACTTGTTTTTACTAATTTTTTTTCTCCTCCCTTTGTCTTTTCCACTTTAGAAATGGTAAAGCACACTCACCTTGCTGTGTTTTTTTGTTTGTGCAGGTAAGGTGTTTGTTCATTGTGCCATGGGAGTGAGCCGCTCAGCAACTTTAGTGCTTGCCTTTTTAATGATCCATGAAAACATGACACTTGTGGATGCTCTGAAGACAGTGAGTGCTCACAGAAACATCTGCCCGAATTCGGGGTTCCTCAGCCAGCTCCGGGACTTGGACATTAAACTGAATGAAGAGAGGAAAGGAAGCAGAGCATCTGCTATCAGAGGCCTGTAAGAGAGTATTGCTGAAAGAAAGAGGACAAAATCTTGTTTGAGTTGCCTGTATCTCTTATAGATGAACTGCATTTATAAATTCAGGACACAAGTTTATGGGACACCAGGACGCATGTTATTAATAAAAGTAGATTTTGCTTGATCTTTCCATTTTGCAAAGCCTTCCTAGATTTATATTTACAATTGGTTGTATACTCTATCCTTCATTCTCCACCTTAAAACATTACTGTCTGCTGGTTTAAAAGAAAAAAAAAGAAAAAGAAAAAGAAAGAAAAAAAGCGAAAGAGATCAGGTTCCACTTCAGAAATAGCTGTGTTTCAGCAACTAGTGGAGCTCATATCACTTTATGAAGTGTTAGGCTATTTGAGGTGAAAGATGCCATATTATTAATGCTACAGTAATGCTTAGAAGTTTTCTTATGAACCTGCCCCTCACCCCTTCACTCCCTGTATCTCAGAGGGTTTGTATTTTGAGACTTGAATCTGGCACTGGTTAGTTCTTGCTTTTACAATTGGTGGAGCTCCTGAGTTGGGGCAACAGGCTGTTTAAAGGCAGAGCAGCTGGGAAACAACATAAGCCATTCTAAGAAATGATTCCAGGTATCTCTACAGGCTTTTCCTTTTGGCTGTTCATCAGAGCTTTTTTTCCTCCATGTAAGTACCTTTCCTTGAGAGGGCATTCAAATATTGTTCATCTTCCATATTAAAAATCAACCAGGAATTGCTGCAGAAAATGCTTCTAAAGAAGAAGGTGGGTTCCCAGCTAACGTTGGTGCAGGAAAATATTTGACAAAGTTCAAATTTGTCTGGCAGTTTAAAATTAAAAACTTGGGATTTTCTTTTTCAAAAATAAAAGGTTATTAACATTGCAACATCATATTCTGTGGCATTTGCTTTTGTGAGGTGGACTGAAGTGAAAACTGAAGACACACAGGAATGGCAAGGGAGGTGTTGACAGGCATCAGGCTTTCATCTTTGTGTCTCTGGGCCACCATAAGAGCACTCAATAGCTACTGTCATCTGATGGATCAGTGCTGCCTGGAAACTATGTGAAGCACATCTGGCTTTTGGTTCCCAGCGGACAAGCATTTGCAGCACAAAGCCAGCTCCAAAGCCAGCTGGGGATGGCAGACTGTATTCCTAGTACCAAACTCAGGAATGCAGAGGCATGAATACTCCCCACTATGTGAGCTGGCTACTCAAAAACAGCACAGCAGCAAGGGAAAACATTCCTTCCATTTCCAGTATTGTCTACAAGGTTAATTTCTGCCTTCAGGACAGACAACTCAGCACCTTTTATAATGCTCTTAGGTGATACCTACATCTGCTCTGTGGGCCAGACTGTAGGAGACAGAGCACAAAGCAGAGTATTTGGCACTGAGAATCTGATCATACCAAGGATGTCTCAGGGGATTTTACTTTGGACTAACCCTGTAGATTGGACATTACTGAGCAGCAGTAGAGCAGTACTGGAACACTTATTTGCTTTAGTTCCTTGCATAAGGAAACCTCATGAGCTCTAGGGCTGCTGTGCAAAGGTAACAAAACCTCAGTAAGTAGGAATAGCCAATAAAAGTATGCTTCAGACCCAACCCAAAATTTAATATGCATGTTTCCTTTACCAATTAAATCTAACAAAGTGATTCCAATTTACAGAATGAGTCAGGGAAACCCCGCAGTGGATCTGTCTATAGAGATGCTCCCAGTCTCAAGCAGAACCACATTTTCTTATCCTTCTCCCTCTTGGAAGTAGGAACCAACCAGCCATTTTCAGGCTGGAGCAAAGGGCAGAGCTGAGGAGCCAGTGGGGGTACTAGAACAGGGGCACATCAAACATATTTCACAGGATACAAACTTACCGCGCTTTTAAAACACTGATTGGTACAACTGGAAACCTAGAGCTTACTCTGATGGTAAAAATACTGCAAACAGTATTTTATTAAGCAAAGTAACACACAGAATGCAACTTCTCAGGTTGCGATGTCTCGCACACAGTTTTCCTCCCAAAGGTGCTCTCCGCATCCCACATCTCATCCCATCCCGCATCCCACATCTCATCCCATCCCACCTCACATCCCATCCCATTCCGCATCCCATCCGCGGCTCCGGCTGCCGCCGCCAGGTGGCGCGGTCGGCCCGGCGCGGGCGGCGCCCCGGGCCGCTCGGGAGGGTCCCGGGAGGGTGCCGGCGGGGCCGCGCCGGGCGGCGGGCGCTGCCACCGGGGCCCCGAGCCCCGGACCCGCCTTGGCCGCTCTGTTCCGAATTCGAGTCAAGCCCCGGGGCAGCCGGGGCAGACGATACGGGGCCTGTGCTGGGGAAGGCGCTCGCCCTGTCTCGCCGCGCCGCCTGGCAGGCTAGGGCACAGCAGGGACGGACCCGGGTGCCCCCCACACGGGCTAAGGCCAGCCCTCCCCTCACGGCTGTCAGCTGGGCTGAGCGGCAGCTGCCCTGCAAGGAGCAGCCGTGGCACCCCCCGCTGGCGGGGCAGCCCTCAGGCTCCGTGTCCCGGCGCCGGCCGCGCCCCCGGCCGGTCAGAACCGCTGGCACCGCCTGGGCCCCGGCGTCCTCCACAGCTCTGCCCCGGCAGCTGCCTCACCCCTGCTGCTGCTGCGGGTCCAAACTGGGTAGCGGAATTCGGGTTACAATTAACAGAATTAAAAATAGGCTTTGAATAAACTGAACACCCGCAGAGGCTAGAAAGTTGTTGTGCAGGTGGCACGTTAGGAGGAAAGTGAGTGGTATTACTGAAACAAAGGTAATCCAAGACACCTCAGCGCGGGAGCCTCGACTACCAGGCAAGTACCTTTAAGCTTGTTTACAAACCAACCCCAGTGAGGTCAGCGCCTGCACCGAGCAGTGTAAGCCCCCAGAGCCAGCTCCGCCAGCAGCGAGCCCCCGGCAGGGCCAGGCCAGAGCAGGGCTGCGCCCTTGTACTCGGCAGCTCCAATATTTGTGAAATTCGAGTTTGCTTTCCAGCTGGACTTACAGGCTGAGGATCTCTCGCTGAAAAGGATGTTAAAAACCAAACCCATTTTATTTAAATACCAATCTGGCTTGTATTTAAATTTCTTACGGCTCTATCTTTAAGATAATAGCCATGAAACACTGGATGTGGGTTTCCTTCCTCTCAGCTGATGTTCACAAGTCGATCCTGGGAAAGGAGAGACTGTCCAGCCAGTTACACAGGAGAAAATGTGAAACAGACTATGAATAAAATGCTGTGCAGTTCAAAAACAAAACCGGGGAGAAATGCAGTTCAAAAACAAAACCTGGGAGAAACAAAATGAAAGAGCAAGAAGTTTGGGGGCGAGGGGGGTGTCTTTTTTTTTTTTTTTTTTTTTTTTTTTTTTTTACTACTAACTCTTTATCGTTTGGGCTATTTATGGATTATTTATAACTAGGATCGAATTTTCAGACAGAAATGGGATTTTTAATGTCAGCAGTCTTCCTCAGAAAATTTTTATTGAGGAAACATGCTTGTATGGCTGTGGAAGCCATTGTGATGATTGGAGTAAAAGAGTACCGAAGGAGAAGACTGGGTTAAATTAATTCCTGCTAAATACCTACCAGAAGACTTGCTGTCTGTGTGGGGAGCTGGAGATAGAATTGTACCAGGGTAAAAAGGATACTGTGGCTATTTATAGTGCTGCCTTCAACACCATAGGAATTCAAAGGAAAACTCCAACTCAGCACACAGTCCTCTCATCATCTTCTTCTGTCAAGATTAAATGGGGCCTGAGATAATTTCCCCTACAAATCCTTTCTAGGAAAGATCTGTTCCTTTGTGCAATAAGGAACTACCATGGTACAAATCACTCCAGAGGTCAATTCCTCCTCATCCAGCCAAATGCCACCACTTTCCTTTTGGTAGTCGGAGGAAGAGGAGAAAAAGACCCTTACAAACTTCAGCACTTAAGCAGGAAAGACCAAAACATTTTGCCTGCCGTGTGTCCTTTCTCCCCGTACTGTCCCCTGCCCTTCTTACACCAGGTGCTCTGGGAGACTTGCAAACAAAAGGGCAAATGTAGCTCCAGCACAATCCCAGTGCCAGGCAGCAGAGGAATAGGAACACAGTACTGGCACAGTCATGGTCATTCATGGTGTCTCTTGAGATCTCAAGGCCCTTACCCTGTGTGCCCCTCTTGCCACTGCAGAACCATCCATCTCTGGGAAGCAATGGGCTCCAGTAGGGGTGTGGGGCACCTATTTGTCAGTAGAAATTAGCTGTAATGTTGAGAGTACAAATGAAAGCAGCTTTGGAAAGGGTATTAGCAGAAACCTGCCTGTCACGCTAAAAAGAAGATACACTCCTGGAGTTCCTTAGCTCCACTCTTCTTTTAGCATCATGGTGCCTCAGATCTTTCCTTCTCATCTTCCACCTTCCAGTTTCTTTTTAATAAGAGCTGCTTTTTCATTCTTCACAAAGCACTACGTACTCTATCTCAATGCTCCTTTTTTGTAATTCTGTTACCAAGCTGTCTGCTAGGTGGGGAGCAGAAGGTGCAGGACTTGGTGCTGCCTTTGAGGTACAGGTAATTATTATGTGCATCTGTTACTGTGGTTGCTGCCTCAACAGGTGGAAAACATGCTGTTCTCTGATAGATTTGCAGCACTCCATGCTCCTGCCTTGTCTTTTCTCTAAAGCCAGTCGTGTGGTGTTTCTAAAATAATAAACACAGCCTCACTGCTGCCACAAAAACCCCTGGTAAATATATTTTTATGGGAATGAAGTATTAAAGGATTTGAACACTTACTCACTGAAAGCAAAATATGAGCAGTAAGGTTGGGTAAAGATTCAAAGGCTGGTTTGCTTCCTTTCCCTGGGGCACATCAAGGCTGTACTGTTTGCACTTCAGAGGTGGATAGTGGGGAATTACTTAACCCAAAATGATGGAAACAATTCAGACTATAATAATATAGCATAAGAGTTTCTCATATTACATCTATTCCCCATACTGCTGGCTACACTCTGCCTTCAGATTCACGTGCACAACTCTCGCTGGAATCTGGAGGAACTGTATTTGAAGCCAAAATGCATTTCATTGTCTTTCTGAAGTCTCTCTGCAGCTTAGTGGCTAAATTCTGAGCTCAAGAACTGGGAACAAAACTTGTCTAAACATTTCCCAGTGTCTGTCTCTGTGAGAGTCCCATCTGTTGTGTTTTATTTTGAATTTCATATTCCTACTTTCCTAAAAACACAAAGCAGAAACACACATTTCCTCTGCCCTGGAGTGCAGGAGTCACCTAATTTCCCAGCAGGTTCTCTCAACAACATACAGTGGATCCAAGTTTGTCTAAAAATGCTACAAGCCCTTTGTGGAGAAGAAAGGGAGGAGACCAGAAATGTGGGCCAAGTTTCTGAGTGTTGTGAAAAGCCCCTGCCCCCCAAAGGGACTCCATTTGCTGTTTCCTCTCTCCCAAAAATGGTCACCTGGGTTTGGGTTTCGTTAAGAGAAATATACATTGCTCAAGTCCTCTCAGTCTTTGGTTTGTGCTTCCTGCTGACACTGCAGAGACTACAAGAGCCATGTAAGCTGAGTCTGACTTTGGGGATTCACATTTGCAATAGCAGAACAAATTAAATGGAGAGCATGTTAAGTGAGTTGGGAGATTGTTGTTGACCAACAAATCTTCATTAAGTTCCCACACCAAGCTGTGCTGCATTTCTAATGAAACTGATCATTGTTTCTCCTTGTATGTTTCAAGTATTTCAGCACCAGGTTTGAGAGAAATTCAGAATTGCTTGAGGTTTAATTAGAAATAAAACACAATATTAATCCATCTTGCTCCATACATGCACCCAGCTTGAAGCTGTTGGTGCATCTTTCAAACAGGCCAAGTTTCACTCTGTTCCCCACCTGTTACTTACTGCCTTGGTT